AAGTGACCAGGATGTACATTCAGGCATTGAGTGGACACATTAGAAAATCAATGAGAGGGTTACGTTAAGTCTCAGAGTAGTGTACAAAGCACTGCAGCACGAAAAGTAGCTCCAGAGTCTGGGAGAGCTTTATCAACATTTTATTAATTCATTAATGAACTTTTAAAAGCATGGACAAGGTAATAACAAGCCACTCAGCTCACGAATAAATCAAAACAATCTAGAAACACCAGACATGATGTTTGTCACAGTCATGCCTCTTTGCCCTCCTACTGGCATTGCAGTGGCAGTGCAGGAGTCGTTGAATTGTGCTTAAGCTTAAATGTCTTAATTGTCAAAGAAGGCTTGAATAAAAGGTTTGCCTGAGGTGGCTTGAATCCATCACCAGACTCTTGCAGCTTTTTCACTAGACAATGTTTGAAATTGCTGTTCTCAATTTGTTAGAATTAAATAAATGAATCTGATGTCACAGTAATTACAGAATTATTTGGTTAAATTGATGCCACCTGTAACCGTCCAAAAGACAGATATTTTTAAATTTCTAGTTTCAAGTTTGTTTTCATCGTCTGTCATAATTTCATAAATATTTGAATCCATACGAGCATTGAATGTGATTAAAAATACAATAAATAAGATGTTTAAAAAAGGCAACTGAAAATATGCAACTCTAAAACTGATGTTTGGTTAAAAATGAAATGTTGTTTGTTACAGGATTTATTTGATGGAGAACGCAACAAGTCACATGAGCACAGTTTAGTTAAGGGTCACACATGTGGGATTATGGGAGAGATGCAATGAGGCTGCAGAGTGAAAACACCTACACTGCTACAGAGGAAACGATATGACCCAAAAATAAGCATTCGGCACAGTCTGAGAGGCGCACGAGGTAATTGTGACATTTAAGTTTCCTTGTTTCATATTTATTTTCAATATTGGTCAAAGTGCATTGTATGGACAGTTCTATGCACTGCTTGTGTAATGACTGAATCTAGCTTGAAATACTTATTATTTGACTCTGTACAATTACATTTGTACAGAGTCATTTTTTTGGGAAATGTGAATTTGAAATGTTCTGTATGTCCTTTATTTTGTAGTTTTCACAGTGTCTGCTGACTGAGGAGAGAAATAAATGTTAAAAGACATCTGTATGATGCGTGGCCTTCATTAAATCAGACAGGAGTAGTTACACCACCTGTAGAATTACTCCATTAAATGTTGGTTTGGGAGGCTGAAAAAAATGTATCACAGTATCAAAATGACATTGGTTTATATTCATTGTTTATAATAATCTGATATTTTGCTTCACATTCACTGAAACAAAAAAGGATTTCTATGAGTCAGTCACTGTGACAATGTGCAGCTCCAGTCATGAAAACCAATGTCATCCATAGCAACAGGGTTAAGCCGCCCTTTATGTACACTTCAATATATATTTTTTTAAAAAGACACTTTGTAATGCGAATAAGCTCCCCATAAAGATCCTGATTGCACTCAGTGGATGACCACAGCATAAGAACAGAGTGTATTTACTTAAATCACAGAGAGTATATTTCTAGCAACCTCTAGTGTTAACCAGCTGTGCAGGAATTTTGGTTTTACTTTGCTTTCAGAAATCTCCCTTGTATGTCTGCCTCCACTTACAGTGTTGCTTTGCTCACAGCATTAAAAATATTTTAAAAAAGTCCAGCAGCTGTGTCTTTCTGGAAGCAATGTCTCTGTTAATGCACAGAAAATGATGGCTGCAGGCTTCACAGGGCGGATTTCTTCAGGAGAAAGTAGCTCCAGTGAAAATTGCTCACAGAGAGGTCTGTAATAGGGGTGCTGATTCCAGAGATGTAGCTGTTGTTGATTCCCCCCCCCTTTTAATACAGTGTGAGCCACATATGAAATTCCATTAATTTCCATTGTGCGTAGCTGAAACTTAAGAGACTGATATCTCAGAACCAAAACAGCTGGATATTACACCACTTTAGGTAAGTGAGAATGTTTTTTTAGTGACAAGCATTATTTGTCAAAAGTCTCACTGTCATGTCTCAGGCTGTAGAAACGGGAACATACTGTATCAGAGACACTTTGTGGGAAATTTTACGAAACAGCAGGTTTCATTCTTTCAGTTTCTAAGTGGCTGACTCTGCATGAGAGATCTTCTATCACTGTTCTGCTCACTGCAGAGAGGAACTTTCAACTCACATGAAAAGCACGACTTGTGCTTAGTTTTTTTGGTTCTCATAAGAGGGATTTTTGGTTGTGTGTCAATCAGTGGTCTTAAAATTATGGGGTTTCAGCATTTAAGCTGCTAGATTCAGAGACATTTTCACGTAACGTGCTGAGCACCGATGTACATACCTGATGATTGTCACCTTGAAGAAAAGAGAAGAAGTTCAACTCTGCAAATAAAGAACAAACAGTGTTAGTGGTAAAACTCAAAAAAAGTCAATATATCACAGATGGAAGTGTGTATTAAAGTTAAATTGTAATATTGGAGTAACTAAACCGTACACGTTCAAAGCAGAAACTGATTCAGAATGAGACAAATAATAGACATTGACAGGTTTAGTTCTTTACGTTTGTTATGTATGAAACTCTGGAGGTCTGATCTGTTTTTTTTGAGACTGTTATTATTAAACTGTACTTTGGAAGTGTTGACTGCTTATTTCGCTCATGATTTGTCTTCCAGCATATAAGAAACACCAAATGGACATGTTAACAAAGTAAAACACTTGATTTACACAAGAGGGAATTTTCAATAAAGTCCACAAACATATCACAATGCTAGAGGAGAATGTTATTTTGTACAAAAATGAATTCTATCTTTTACCAAAAAACAGAATAAAGGTCCCTTGACATCTCACAACCTCCTTTAACCTCCTAAACTCCAGTAACCCTCTGAATCTCAAGTTGTTTGTGTTTTTTTTTCTCCTACCATCACATTTTTTCTCACTCTTGGCTCAATTTTTACTGCATTATAAAGTTCTTCACCTCTATGAAAACAACACAAACATGGCAGGAAGCATAGAGAACTCAGAAATGCCTTCTGTGCAGTATAACCAAGTTTCAATGCCATAAATCACCAATACTAGAAAAAAATGGTGGCTACTTCACTACTGGACTTTTTAATTTGTTTCCATATGTTGTTTGTTTATCCTGTCTGCTTTCTTTCTCATGACTGTTTGTTGCATCTGAGTCAGTAATGGCTTTCTGAATGTATTTATTCAACTTCATTACTATCTTTTGTATCATCTCTGTTTCTACAGTTTCTGACCACGATAAATGGTGTAACTGTGGTTATTTTGTAAAAGATAAAATGCCTTTCAAACTCACCTGGCAGTATTGGGGGTTTAGAGGGTTAAACTTCCCCTGAGGTTCAGTAATAATAAGTTATTATAATTCTATAATTCATTTTCACACTTTTTGATTGATTGACATTTTGTTTATCTGCTTGTGCCGGCGGTTTACGGAGCCACTGTAATAGTTTAATTACACCAGAGTAATATCTCACCAGACATACAGTCTGATAACAGTTTGTATGTTAGAAGAAGTGGGATCTTCAGAAGAACTTAAAATACAGTCAGAAAGAGTTAAATACTTAGCTGGATACTATGAGTGTAAAGAGGTTAAGTACACTAAGTGTTCATTACATGCACTATTTCATTGTAATGTTATTTCTGTTTTGCCATTTCAAACCATGAACTTGCTTTCATGAATATACCGGAATCATCACGAGTCTGCGTGTGTTGTTACCTGACAGGTCGTTGGGGGTGTGGTAGTAGGGTCTGTAGTCCTGGATGAGTGGGGGGACGGGAGGGATGTAGCTGGTGTCCATTGCTGGCATGCTGGGAGTTCGACTCACAGGAGAAGCCTGGTGGTGCAGGTTCAACACACTGCAGACGCAGCAGAAGAGAAAAAGAGATGAAGAAGTCACTTAACTTATAATTAGGTTTTTATTTCATATCTATCGAGTAAGTCATGGGGCGTTCCGTCTCCTCCACTGAACTCGAAACACAAACCTCTGAACAATAACAGTCGCAGGATTCATTAAAGTCAAATGAAGCAGCAGCAGCTTCTACTCAGACACACTTAATGAATTTTAATTTGGCAGAAAATGCAGCTGTTAAAGGTTCAGGCAGCCAAATCTTTAGTAAGATAAGTTTGTTAACGGGAAGTTAACAAATTCCTCAGGACCCTGTGGAGTTTGTCAAGCATTTGGCTGGACATTCATTCACTGGTGATGACATTTAAGTGGAAAAAAAAGTAAAGAGTCACCTATCTCATCAGACACAAACATTTCTCGGTCAGCACACTTGGGTACCGAATGTGAGCGCGGATGTCAAAAGATACTTGTGTGTTCAAGTGCAAAACTCATGAATCATTTAACATCCAGATACACAACCACCCATACAAGCAGCTAAAATGAGCCTCAATTTCACATTTAATGAAATTCAAACTGCGTGTGGAGATGAAATCACAGTCTCTGGTGTGTCTCACCCTTTGTTGATGACGGGTGGCGAGGTCGGGGACAAAGAGGGACACGCTCTTTTGACTGGAGGAGGCAGCGGCGGAGGCGGTGAATCCTGTCCTTCGTCTTCCGAGGAGCTATCCAGCGTCAAGTCGATCACTTCCACTTTCTTGCTGTTACTGCCGTCGCTGCCACCGTGGCTGGACGACGAGGAGCTCCGCTGATCTGAACCTGCAGATGTCCTACACGAGCCTGCAGAGCAGTTTGTTTGTACAGATTTTTAGAATTTCCCAGTCTGCACAGTACCAAAAAAATTAATAAATAAAAAAGCACTACCACTGTGAGGGTGCTCAAACACACAAATACACATTTCCCCGCTCATATGAGATAGAGTATGTTTGTTACTATGGAGACAAGCAGTTTATTCAGTGGCATCATGATTGATGCTTCACCAAATCAAAACTGACAACGCATAAACAAAGAAGGAGGAGATGTAAATGCATGTTCTTTCCCTTTTTACCACCTCTTCTCTAATTCTATTATTTCCAGCCTCCTCACATTGCCCTTTATGTAAAAATCAACCTTTCTCTCTTTAGCCCACCCCATCCCTGTAGATCCCTAATGCCCCGTCTCACCATCCAGCCCGTTGTTATAGGAGGCAGAGGAGACCTCTTGCACTTCCTTCTTAGACCTCATGGGGGCCCAGCTGCCATCCTCCTTAAACTGGATCTCATCACAGTCCATGCAGCTGTTAAGGATCTCCACGAAAAGCCTGAGAACAGACATACGTGTCCCACACAAATCAAGAAAACATACATAAATACACATAGAAATTGGTACATTTAAACTAATGCTCAGCACAGTGGAAAAGACCTTCCACTTTAAACAAATTCTTGATCTGTCGTTCTACATAAAAGCATGCTATTTAAATTGAGTGAGCATTTGGAACATATACATCAGTTTTTCAGAACATTTTCACTCCATTTCTGAAGCGGCAATAGCTGCCGTCCTCCCCAAAGGAGCAAACTATGAACTAAAGACTCACCCTCAAGGCTTACGGAGAGTTTTAACCTCAGAAGGTTAATTACAGGGCTGGGCGGTTTAGCTGTTAATTTAAGATAAGATAATCTTTATTGATCCCTCACTGGGGTAATGTATACAGTACAACAGCTAGATATAAGTAAAACATTGTAAAAAAACAACATGCACAAATACATACATTTAAACATACAAATAAAAATAAACAAGGATAAAGGAGTGATTTCAACTTGATACACACGAAATAAACTCGAGTAAAACGAGAGGTTCACTGCGGACACCCAGGATGAAGTTGCTGTGCTGCACAGAGGTTAAAGTTCCTGGTGGTTGGCCGTGATCAGGTGTCACAGGACGGACGACCTGATGTCGAGTCCGTCAGGTGTATAAACAGCCACTGACTAACACAGACACCACAAAGCCACAGCGGGTGAAGGGGCTCCGGTACTAAGGGACATGATGGGCTGTTTACGGCCATCGAGGAGCAAACTTGGAGTTTGACATGCAGCTGAACTTTGGTCATGGGCTTTCATGGCAGTTTACAAAAGATGCATTCAATTGTTCTACCTTAAATTTTTCTCACTGTAATTAATGAATGTCTGTGGTTGGTATGCATCACCACTGTTTTATTGTCCACTCCTAGTTGGCCATGATAAGATTTAAACAGGCTATGCAACTGTAGGAATCCTGGAGATGTATTTGCTTTTTTGTCAAACCACTGCCGCCACATTCAAAAACTGAGGCTGTGTTTAAAATCACAGACTTTTTATTTTTACTTTAAGTGCGTACTACAGCTGCCCTCAGAACGTACACACGGTTTCATGGAGTTTGCACGCAATGGGGACACACTACTACATGATTCTGCACCTCTAGCTTTGACCATTGCAGTCTGTAGTGCAAAATGAGCCGTCATCTGTCTGTGTGCTCTCTATGACTTAAGCTTTCGTTCATATTCACGAGATTTGTGTGTGACACAATTTTGCAGAGGATTGTGGTCAAGGGAAGGCAGAAAAACATGCTGGCTTGCATACTACATGAAGTCGTAGGTTGTCCAGGTATTTTTAGCTTGCTACAGTAAACATACTATGTATTAGGACAGAGGAAATATTTTCTCCGCTTACAATATAGTACTATGTCCGTACTACACTATGGATATGTGTTTTGTGGCTGCTCCTGCCTGATAATTACTTTGAACATTCTTTGCAGTATTTCCAGGTCAGAAAGGTAACAGGCGGGGTTGGGTGACTCACCCGTCGATGATGAGGTGCTCATAGGGGGCCTTCTTGTCACAGACAGGACACACCCAGGTGGGCTTCTTCTCGTTCATCTGGATGTAGAGTGTGGCGTCAAAGCACTGCAGGTGGGAGCATGTCAGCGCCCGGCATGGGATCATCAGCCGCATCTTCCCCAGCTGCACAGCGAGCACACACATGTAGTCAGGGCATGGAGAAGACACGCACAGCAGGGATGAAGGGTTGAATGGGACGCATAAATGTCAGAAATATGCCAAACCCACATGGAAAAGACATATGATAAGGGTTGAAAAGACAATTTGACAGGTGGTTCATGTACACAAGCATGAGTTACATGCAGGAGGGCATGCTGAGTCACATACGTAGAAGAGGACAAAAAAAAAAAAGAAGAAAAGAATGGACGAGCATGTTTTGGCATGACTGACTCTCTAAACGTTGAATTCATGAAGAGCAGGAGGGATGTTTACCGGGCAGAGCAGCGACACTCGAAGGCTGGTGGTGGCTATTTCACTGTCTGGGTCTGCTGTTAGCTTCTCTTTGACTGCAGAATAAGGGGTAAAGAACACATACGTGAGACCATGAGAAGGAAACAGCAGGACTTCTTCTTACAAATGTGCTCAGTAAATCACTGTCAGGCTGCAACTCCATCCTGCAAATTTATTCAAAGAGCTCCTCATGCTGTTTGTCCCCTCTGCACCTGAATCTTATTATCACTTCACATACAGCATAAAATATATAGAGATAACCATCTGACTGGAGGAAAAAAAAAGAGGAAAAAACAACAGATGTGTGTCAAGCAGCTCAAGTCCCTTGCTTAGAGCAGATTTTCAAACCTTGCTTCACACGATGATCACCAGAAAGCATTACGTATTTCTACTCTAAGATAAACTAGAGAGAAGAACCACAGAGGAGTCATAAAGGGTTGGGATTCACTATCCTACGTTTTTCTCTCTTAATGACAATTTCCAATAGCAAATACCAAATAAACAGATACAAAAGTTGATCAGAAGTCCCTATATTTTAAATTTGTCACTGCACAAAGCTAGTTTGAATTATTTTTTAAATGTACGATAACATGAAAGCGATGTTACTGTGGTGCTAAAACCTAAGTAGCAACTGTGACAAATAAAATTCTAGTGGAAATCTGTCCTACTTAGTCAAGTTCATACAGACTAAAGTATGCCTCTAAACAAAACGAGGCCTTACTGAGCGCTCTGGAGTGGTCTGGGTTTCTGATGCCTTTTGCCCGTAGTCTCTGCAGCAGCACTGTGGACGACTGCTGCTTCACCAAGTACACCGCCATGGAGTAACTCTGAGGACACACAGGAATACATAGAATATTGTGACAAGGTGCAAATAGATATTTTAGATCTCACCTAGAGGACAATTTTCTTGTACTTGAACAGCGTTACTCAGTGTGACTTCTTGCCATCACAGCTTTTCTTTTGTGAAGTCAAAGAAAACTAAGCAAAAGAACATGAGCAGTGACAGTATGTACTTCTGTGGTTGAAGGTCAGGCTCCAGTCACCTTTTAATTAAATGATCACAAGTATTTGTTCTAACATCTAAGGTCAAACTCTTCAGCTTTCACTCAGATTTTTTTCTTGAAGTTGTAATTTTACCCTTTCCTACTCTGCTCCACTATTTAATGCTTACTTTCTCTACATTTTTGGCTATAAGAAGAAAGTAGCGCCGATCCCTGAGCTTCAAATTCAGTTCAAAGCATTCATATATAATTTAAGAGTTATTTAAAGTGGTAATCTATAAAAAAAAACAAAAAAACAACAACTCTGTTTTGTTCTTATTTGCAGCAATTTTTTGTCAGATTTTTGGTCATTTCTTATTCTCTTCATGTTTTGTTTTAGCAGCTAACAAACAGCTGATTTTCTGCAGGAATGCTGCCATAGAAACTTAACTGGTGATGTTTTTATGGAAGTAGGTCATTTGCTCAATGACCATTCTGTGCCATCATTTGGCATTATATTAACATTTATGTAAATTAAAATCTTACTACTAAAATCTGAGATTGCTGCTCTAAGAGTATGTTGTCTGCGCTGTCATGTTTGTAGAACTTTTTTTGTTGTGGTTGCATCTGTATGTCTGTCATCCATGTAAACATATCTAAGTTTGCACATTTAGGTTGACTGAGGAACATATGATGGCTGAGGCTGCAAATAATTATTTGCATGATCAAATAATGAACTAAACATGCAGTCAAAAACATAAAATGTCAAAAATAAGCTCATCACTTCAGCCCAAAAGTCATATGATAAGATAGGATAGGTCTTAATAGAATAGAATAGAATAGAATAGAATAGAATAGAATAGAATAGAACAGAACAGAACAGAACAGAACAGAATAGAATTTTATCTATCCCCCATTGTGGGAAATTTACATGCCACAGCAGCATCCAAAAATATAGAAAGAAAGTACAAGAAAATAACAATAATTAATAATAACAGCCTTTAGATTGAAAAAAAAATAGATTGTGCAAATTTGTGCAAATTTGCAGTGCAAAAGTGAATTCGATAAACGAAATGCCAATTTTTGCAATTTGGTCAACATCAGCTAGTGATGCTGATGTTGCAAAGTCTTACTGCAGTTGGTAGGAATGACCTGCGGTAGCGCTCTTTCTTGCAGAGAGGATGTCTGAGTCTGCTGCTGAAGGAGCTACTTAAAGCCCCCACAGTCTCATGCAGCAGGTGAGAGGGGTTGTCCATGATGGATGTGAGCTTTGCTAACATCCTCCTCTCACTCACCTCCTCTATGGAGTCCAGGGAGCAGCCCAAGACAAACTTGGCCCTCCATTATTATTATTCTCATTATTATTAATCCAATTATTAATTCCACAGCAGGGAAATTTTGCATAAAACACGGCTTATCTGGTCAAAACTATTAATTTCAGATTAACATGGAAATGGAGAAAAGACAGCAAATCTTCACAATCTTCACATTCGGCTGCTGCAACTAGCAAATGATCATATTTACCAGTTCATCAGGTATCAAAACTTACATCAATAATGTAGAAACTGCAAAAGGTTTTGGTTTTTACCCTTCCGATCTCAGCAGTCCACGACACCACGATGGTGTTGGGGACGGTGGTGGACAACCTGACCAGTGAGGTAATGTTGATGGGCCGGCTGGGCCGCTTGGGCTCGACACCGTTTTTGGTTGGAGGAAGATAACCCTGGAAGTCAGAAATGAATATTAGACATCGAATTCGCATAAAGACTCAAAATCCAGTTGCATGATAAAAGCAGCATGTTTTGTTGGATGGAATGTGGGGGACTGAGAGCTCCTCACCGGCAGGTTACATGGCTTCCCGTTGACTTTCACACACAGATTTGGGGGAAAGTGGTCTTCCTGAGGACAGCTCGTCTCCGACAGGCAAAACCGCAACTGAACTTGGACAGAGAAGTCGCATTTGGTCCCCGAGATGTCCCTTTAAGGGCAGAAATAGATTTATCACCACACATCTGCAGGAACCATGTACATTTATGAATTATTCAGAAACAATTCGCTGTCCTGCATTGACAGAGCCGTGCTTCTCTTACATCGAGCTGCTGATCTGCTGAACTTGCTGTGGCGTTAATGCAAAGGCAAAACATGTCTCCTGAAAACGCTGGCTGTTGTCTGACGCTGCAGTGAGAGAGAAAGAGAGAGACGGAGAGAGATGTTTAATAACCGGGAATATTACACACAAAAAAAAGAAGGAAGGATGTCCTACTTTCTCTCATTCACATTACATGCATCAAGTTTTAACTGGGGCAAAATGTTGGCCAATTATAAACAAACTGTGACCCCCTAACACGGAGATAAAGAAAACCAACCTCTGCAAACAAGAGTAAGCATTGCAACACAGAGTAAAGCATAAATCCCTCTTTTATTTTAAAAATAAAGAAAAAAGGCTCAGAAATGTCCATTAGAAACTGCAGCATTATTTGGTGGACCTTGTAGGCATGAAACAGGCAGCTATACAACACCTGGATGTCAAAAGCAGATCTCACACTGAGGTGAAGATGAAGAAGAAAGTGAGTGTGCTCTATTTACAGGCCCACCCACAGGTGCTGGAAATAACCAGTGCTACTAACCCAGCCTCCATTAAAGAGACAGCAGGTTCACAAAGTCAAGAAAAGTTAGTGTTATGTTGGTGTAGGAGGTTAGCATGAAGCAGGGAGCGATGAAGGTTCAAACCTCTCTGTGCTTTATAGTTAGAATTAAAGTAATAGTTTGACATTTTGGAAAATATGCTGACACTACCTCTCCTATTGAATGAACCCCTTCAAACTCAATTCTGTTCATTAAAGTTAGTTGTTTGGAATTTTCTTTCTTTTAAAAATGACCTCTTATGCCTGGAAAACAGCTTAAATGTAACTCTACACCGTTGCCTCCTTTAATATGAACTGATCTATTAAGTTCTGCATTTTTCTTCATCTGCCCTTCAGTTTTTCTAAACTGGAAATTGATTCTAAAAAAGAACAATGACACAGAAAGCTCCACCTTGGAAGTTGGATTGGTTGTTTAGGTGTGCTATGTATGAAACCCCAGAAGTTTGCATCAGTCTTTTTGAGACCGTTTCTGATGAACTGCAGCTTTAAGGCAGAAACCGTTGCACTGGCTGCTGATTTCGCTCATCACGTGTGTTTTAGTATATAAAAAAAATACCACATGGACATGGTAACAACGTAAAAAAAAGAAAGAAGTGATTTTCATCAAACGGAGTGCTTAAGTATTTTCGCTCAGCGAGTGAGATGAAAAGATACCGTCAATACCGTCACAGCTGGAGGTGATAAGCTTGTCTTGGCATATGAACTGGAATCAAGGCAAGTCTGAGTCTGTCAAATATTTTAACAGCAGTGACGAAAATTGAAAACATGTTGTACTTCGTTTGTTTAATCCGTTTTCAGAAATGTAAAACCAGCAATTCTGACAAATTTCCTGATGAACAAAACTATACATTTCACAAAAAATGTCCAGCAGCCAGTCAGGTTAATCATGAAACTCCATACTCAATAGTTCATCAGGTCTGTATCAGTTCATACAGCACTGTATGCTGCTCGTAACACGTCTCTTTTTTGACCTGTTCTGAATTCATTGTTGAGTGTTTCCTCAGTTTGACGAGATATAATATGTGGACTATGTTCTGTTGTGTAAGTAAGTATAATAATATGTGATTTCATGTTGTTTTAAGGAGCCCATCTGGTGAAAATACATATACATTTTTTTAAAAACCTTGTTAGCATACCTATCTGGTGTTTTTTTTATATTCTGCAAGACAAACCACAAGTTAAATACGCAGTCAACACCACTGCTGAGTGTTTCTGACTTGAAACTACAGTCTACTGGTGACAGTCTAGAAAACACTAATTAAGACGTTGGATGTTAAAATGAATGCGAAATACATACAAAAATAAACAAAACAAAAAAAAAAGTTAAAAAAAAGCTAAATATTTAACTCTGATACACAGACATGAGTTCTGGGGGGTTTTATCAACGAAAAGAGAGGAACTTCAAAATAAAAGCATGAGTTATTGGGCTTTTCAACAGCAGGAAGATGCAAAACATGTCGACAGTTTGATCTGATAAACACCAAATGATAATCCACACCTGGACACACAGCATTCATTTCCACCACATCATTTTATTGCTAAATGTTTAACTACCTATAGGTTTGGCTTTCAGTATCAACATTAACCTTGTTCCTTAAAACACAGTTGTTTTTTTAATTTTCTGCTCTGAGTGGCAGAACACACGACTAACTTGCTTATCTGCAGGAAACAGTTTCAAAAGTAAAACCAGCCAGAACGTCGACTGAGAAAAAGCTTTTTAGCCTTCATTGCAAGACTCTTTCTTACACCAGTGCAGGCGACTACAACCAGTGTTAAAATACTTGATATTTTCATTCCTTTTGTGTGTACGTCACATTTCACAAGGCGCAACTGTGGAATCTCACTCGGAATCTTTTGGCCTGAAAGTCGTAAACGTGAGCGAGGAGGATGAGTTACAGAATCATAACTGTTGCTGTGATGACTTCAAATAATGCCGTAGAGAGAATCTGCGTGCACATAAACGTACACACATTAGGATAAAGCGCATAGAGGTTACTTCTTTCCATGTAGGGCGTTGAGAGGGACAAAATCTACAGTGCCTGTGGATGATTACTGGACCAATCATGCTGCTCCTCTCATCAGCCTTTCAAACAGCCATTAATTTCCCCAGTAATGACCCATCTTACCACCCACATGGTATATAATTTGTATGGCGTGTATTTATTGTATGTCTCTGCTGCTGCGTCTTCTGAGCGGCAGCCTGTGTACTGCAGAATAAAATTGTACGCGAGTGTGCTTTCGAACAACAGTCTTCCTCCTCTCCGGGCACACAGGTTATAAATAGAAAGTGCTCTCTCACTCTCTCACTCTGTCCTCGCTTGCTCTCTCTTTCTCTCTCTCTCTCTCTCTCTCTTTCTCTCTCTCTGGCAGTGGATTTGTTTCTGGTGTTTCAGTGTGTGTGGTTCGGAGAGATATGAGAAGGGTTGAAATGAGCTTTGATTGATGTCTTCCTCTATCTCGCTCACACACAAGACTTACTTTTGCCCCGACACACACACATACACACAAACTCCCACGGTGGCTTCTTTAGCTCTAGAGGTTTAAAATGCAAACACAGTGTTTGACATCAGCTTTAGGATGTTTTCTTTGTCTGGCACACGCAGAAGTCTGGAGTATTGAAAACTGTCAAGTGCTGAAAGCAGACATACTCTTCTTCACCTATTCATGATCAGACAGGGTCTCATTTAAATCATATTACGCCATGTTTATGTTTTTTCATTAAAGCAAAGTTCTTATAATGTTGCTTATGTTACACAACACCTAAAGGAATGGTTAAATGTGTTTTTTTTGCTTTCTTGCTGAGAGGTGGATCATATTTGTCATATTTGTGAGTTGGATGTGTACTAGTCTCGGTAGAAAATAATGATCTTGCTGAACCTCACTATCGTTCGACTGTAAGGGGGGAAAATACTCTGGCTTGTTTGTATTTCTTTAGACTAATCACAGGCAAAGGATGCAGCTTCAGTGTTTCCTGAAAAAGATTACAAACTGTTTTGGAACATTTGCATGCAGGGCGAGAATCACTGTGATTATAAAGGATAATTTGACCCAAAAAACTAGTCGGACTGCGGTACTGTATCCAAATCCTTCAGCAAAACTTGAAATTTTCAAATAGACAGCGTAAGGACAGGACAAGCCAGCCTGAATGACAGAGCCAATGACAGGCTTCTGCCTGCAGTCTACATCCTGTAACTAAACATGAAGCAACACCCAGTTAGCTTAGCTTAGCATAAACTCTGCCTACCTGCTGCTTTAATGCTCACTGACGAACAAAGCTTGTTTCGTCGTTTACAGGAGAAAGACAAAAATTAAGCATTATGGAAATAAACGTAAAACCAGAAATCAGCAACAGTATCTGAAATGAAATCTGCTTTGCATGACTAGTAAAGTCATTTTTAACATCAGCTTTTACTGTGCACTGGAATTGCATTTAGGTGTGGGAATCACTGTTGGTTGTCTCATTTTCCCAACCGTTCTTAGTATTAACATTGTCAGTGACCATTTATAGGCTGGTCCATACAGCAATCGCTGTTTGTGAACACTGCTTAATGTGCCAGCATTTGCAGCAGTATTAATAAATGCCAGTCGATGGTATTAAAATATTGAAAGGCAGGAAAAATTAAATAACTAATGACTTAATATGCTCTCTTTATGCTGCTATTCAAGCTCCCGTCCATACTGAAGCTCTGGTTTTTCTTCGTCCTCTTCAGAACAGGAAGACAAGTTTTAGCTTGTCTTGTTCAGAATAATCCTGACCCCAGATATAAGTAGTTCTTGGTTCTGAACAAGCAAAGTGCTGGCACCACTCTTGAACCAGTTTTCCTGGCCAAGAGCCAGTTCTTTGGCTGTCAAAATGCAGATTAGGCACTGGCTCCAAACCTGCCCTTCAACTGCAGAGATGGAAAAGGGGTAATGAAGAATCAAGACTACATCACATCCAGAATATTTTCAATCAATGAAGTTTCTACTTATCTTCATTGAAAGACGAAATAAAATTAATGATGCTGTGAGCAGTAATTACTGTAGAGAACCTTTCTGCCATTGCATGAAATCTTATTTCTGCTTAATGGCACTTATTAGAATATGAACATTAATAAATCAGTGGGACATTAATTTTGAGACGCAAGCATAATTACAATAAATAAATAAGAGCTTCTATCAGCACAAATCTCCTTCCATGCATCACAAAGCACCAGCAGTTTGTACTTGCTCTCTGATTTAGAGTACAGTCATAAAAGGAGAATACAAAATATCTGAGGGGTCATTTTTGAAGGTGTAACGTGGATATTACAGAGCTCAACTATAGTGTTTTTTTGTTTTTTTTAAAATGACTGTAAAAAGAATGAATATAAGGACCTTGGAAAATAAGGACACTCCTTTGCAGTTTGCGATTAACAAAGTGCTTGACTTTAAAGTCTCCCTTTGGCCTTTATTCAATCTCTGTCTATAAAAACTGCATATTTAGATGTTTTGTCAGTGCAGTTATTACCTAAAAAGACTTAGGTACAACACCATCGCCTTCTTTAGAAT